TGCGATATGCAGATGATACAACCTTGCTTGCTGAAAGCGAAGAGGACTTGAAACATTTACTTATGAAGATCAAAGAGCACAGCATTCAATATGAATTGCATCTCAATGTCAAGAAAACAAAAATCCTCACCACTGGACCAATAAACAACATTCTTATCAATGGAAAAAAGATTGAAGTTGTCAAGGACTTCATTCTTCTTAGATCAACTATCAACACTCATGGAAGCAGCAGTCAAGAGATCAGACGTATTGCATTGGGCAAATCTGCTGCACAGGAACTTTTTTAAAGTATTGAAGAGCAGAGATGTCAGCTTGAGGACTAAGGTGCGCCTGACCCAAGCCATGGTATTTTCAATGGCCTCATATGGATGCAAAAGCTGGACAGTGAATAAGGAAGATTGTCGAAGAATTGATGCCTTTGAGTTGTGGTGTTGGAGAATACTGAAAGTGCCATGGACTGCCAAAAGAACCAATAGATCTGTTTTGGAAGAAGTGCAGCCAGAGTGCTCCTTGGAGGCCAAGATGGCTAAGCTTTCTCTCTCATACTTTGGACGTGTTGTCCGGAGGGAACAGTCACAGGAGAAGGATGTCATGCTGGGTAAGGTGGAGGGTCAGAGAAACCCCTAACGAGATGGATTGGCCAGGTGGCATCATTGATGGACTCAAGTGTGGCAGCAGTAGTAAGGTTGGCCCAAGATCGGACGTTGTTTTGTTGTGCTGTGCATGGGGTCGTTATGAGTCAGTTCCAACTCGATGGCACCTTACAACAACAACAACAACACTATTTGGAATACTTACTATGTGCAAGACACTCTTGCTTTTTACACATATTATTCAATCATCATAAAATTGAATGATATAGGCATTTTTACAATTTTCATTTCATTGAAGAAACAGAGTGAAAGACAGGTAAAGCAATTTACTTAAGGTGACATTATGGCTAAAAGGTAGGGTTCTGATTGGAAAACCAATAATCTGAATACAGGGTCCCTCCTCTTAACCTTTTTACAGAGGAAAAATTTATAGAAATTAAAATGCACTTGACAGTTTAAGTGTTTCTTGACTCCAACTAACACTGCACAGTCATCTAATTGCTGTTTGCTGTTGTATTCTTGCTGAAGTGGCTAGACTCTATGCCTTGATAACAGACCTCTGACATAAAAAATAGTTTGCCAGCCTTTTTTCTTTGTTATAAAAGTTCTGCTTTCTTTGGTAACACCTTATTGAAGGCATATGGGTATTTGCAAAAGCCTGGTGTTATACAACCAAAAGGGAAGAAAATGTTCAACATGTCTCAAGCTGAAGAAACTGAAGAAAAAAATTCAAGCCTTGACTTGAAATGTTAAAGGATTCTATGGGTAAAATATTGAATGGTGCAAAAAATATCAAAAGAAGATGGAAGGAATACCGAGCATCACTCTACCAAAAAGAAATGCTTGATGTTCAACCATTTCAATAGCCAATGGTACTGAAGAAAGAAGTCCAACGTGCACTGAAGGCATTGTCTAAAAACAAAGATCCAGATATTGATGGAATAGAAATATAAATCTGTCAAAAATGGATGAAGCACTGAAAGTGCTCACTTATCAATGCAAGAAATTTGGAAGACAGCTACCTGGCCAACTGATTGTTGTTGTTGTTGTTGTTATGTACTGTGGAGCCAGTTCCGTCTCATAGTGACCCTGCACAGGGTTTCCAAGGCTGTTAATCTTTACAGGAGAAGAACGCCTCATCTTTCTCCCATAGAGCAGCTGGTAGTTTTGAACTGCTGACCTTGCGGTTCGCAGCCTGATTCGTAACCACTACTCTACCAGAGCTCCAGAGATGCATATTTATACCCATTCAAAGATAGATGACTCAACGGAATGCGGAAGTCATAGAACCATTAATAATACATGCAAGTAAAATTTTGCTGAAGATAATGAAAAAAAATGGCTGCAACAGTACATTGACAGGGAACTGCCAGAGGTTCAAGTCAGATTCAGAAGAGAATGTGGAACAAAGGATATCCTTTCTGATGTCAGATGGATCTTGACTGAAAACAGAGAATACCAGAAAGATTTTTACCTATTCTTCATTGACAGACAAAGACTTTCAACTGTGTGGATCATGACAAGGTATGGATAACATTGTGAAGAACGGGTATTTCAGGACATTTATTGTGTTCATGAGGAACCTGTACATAGGCCAAGAGGCAATTGTTCAAACAGAACAATGGAACACTGAATGGATTATAAAATCAGGAAAGTTTTGTGCCAGGGTTGTATTATCTCACATGCTTATTCAATCTGTTTACTTAGCAAATAATCTAAGAAGCTGGGTTATATAAAGAGGTACGTGGCTATCAGGATTGGAGGAAGGCTCATTAACAACCTGTAATATACAGATGATACCACCTTGCTTGCTGAAAGTGAAGAGGACTTAAAATACTTACTGACAAAAATCAAAAATCTACAGTCTTCAGTATGGGCTGTACCTCAATGTAAAGAAAAAAAAAAATCCTCACAAATGGACCAATAAATAACATTAATATAAATGTAGAAAACATTGAAGTTGTCAAGACTTCATTTTGCTTAGATCCACTATCAACACTCATGGAAGCAGCAGTCAAGAATTCAAATGACATATAACATATGGCAAATCTGCTCCACAAGGTCTCTTTAAAGTGTTCAAGAGCAAAGATGTCAGTTTGAGGACTAAGGTGCAGTGTGCCTGATCCAAGCCATAGTATTTTCAGTAGCATCATATGCATGTGAAAATTACACAATAAATCAGGAAGACCAGAGAAGAATTGATGCATTTGAGTCATGGTGTTGGAGAAGAACATTTAAAAGTACTATGGACTGCTAGAACAAACTTATCTGTGTTGGAATAAGTACAGCAAAAATGCTCCTTAGAAGCTAGGATGGCTAGACTTTATCTCTCATACTTCAGACAGCTTTTCAGAAGGAACCAGTTCTTGCAGAAGAACATCATGCTTGGTAAAGTGGAGGTTCAGTGAAAAAAAGGAGACTCCCTTCAATGAGATAGATTGGCACAGTGGCAGCAGTAATGGGCTCAGGCATAACAATGAATGTGGGATAGCACAGGAGTGGACTGTATTTTGATCTGTTGTACAAAGGTCACTATGAGTTGGATCCAACTAGATGGCACCTAACAACAACAACAAAAAACAGCAACAGGAGTATGTCTTATCTTTACCGAATGTATGCCAAGGTAGGATATGTTTTGCTGTTATTAAGTGCTGTTGATTCAGTTCTGACTCATAATGATCTTGTGCAGGATTTCCATGGAGCAGCTGATGGATTTGAACTACCAATCTTGCAATTAGTAGTTCAGTACTTATTGTACAACACCACACCAGGACTCCATGATATGTCTTCTTGTTGTTAAGTGTTGTTGAGTCGAGTCCAACTCACAGTGACCTTGTATAGAGTTTCCAAGGAGCAGCTGGTGGGTTCGAATTGCTGACCTTTTGGGTCACAGTCCAGTGCTGATTCTACCTATTTCAGGGATAACCTTATGGTTGGAGTCCAGGTGTGGTGTTACAGCATAAGCACTAGACTGCTAATCGAAAGGTCTGCAGTCCAAACTCACTAGACAATCCTTGGAAACCTATGACTCAAATTGAATCAACATCTCTTAGCAGCAATGTTGTGCTTGACTTCTGCAAGCCTTTTAAGTTTGTGTTGTTGTTGTTGTTAAGTTTTAGTTCCTACTCATAGACGTATAGGGTTTCTGAGGAATGACTTGTGTGTTTGAACTGCTGATCATTTGGTTAGCAGTCCAGTGCTTATCCTATAGTGCATCACCAGGACTCAGTACTGCTTGAAGAGTGGGATTCTTCTAGTTCTAAAAACACATTTAATCATCATCAGCAGCTCATATTCAAATGTATATACTTTTTACTGTGCTTTCAAGAAGTCAGTTTCAGAATTCACACTTCCCTGCTTGCTATTAATCCTATATGGCAACCTGATTTTTGTTTATTTGAGCTTCTCTATGCCTTCCCTTTGATTAGAAGCACAGACCAAGCATGATAATAGCCACACTACCTGGATCAAGAGCACATGGTGGTGTCATTAGTGTTGAGGGAGTGTGGACTATACCAGGTGACACTGTCAGAGGGGTTGAACCTAAAATAAGTACTATATTTCTGTACAACGTCTCAGCAGAAATTAATTTTTTTAAATAAAAAATATCCCTATTGTTAATGCTGGTTAATGCATTGGACTGCAAAGTTGGTTTGAACTGAGAGGTTGGCGGTTCAAGTCACCAGTCCCTCCTGGAAAACCCTATCCAGAATTGCAATGAGTCGGAACCAACTATATGTACTTAAAAAAACACACAATAGCTAGTTATAACACCAAAAATATTTTTGTAAGCCCAGCTTACATGTATCAACAGACCTTCAAACTCTCCGCTAATTTACTTTTTGAACCTTCTAAAACATTCTGGTCAGATTACAATTATAATGATGCTTCAAATCACGTAATTTTATCTGCACACTCTACAAGTAAAGGCTGTTATTTGCATTACTGTCAGTGCTTTTTTAGTCACTGATTTTGTCAATTTTTTTTTTTGTGTTGTAATTACAATGTTGTGATAGTGTTTGAAAATCAATATCCGTAACTTTTTGAGAATGAAGTGATAAAAAGGAGAAAAAAAATTAAAAGGCTACTGTTCAACCAATTTACAACTACATTTATAACCTATTATTCTATGATGATTAAAATTCATAACAACTATTACTAAGGTCCATGGGAGATGTAAACCATGACTTTACTGCACTGGGTGACATCAATCCTACTGATGCCGCTGGGAGCACAAACAATATTTGTGATTTTATGACGCTTTTTGCCTTGTAACTACTTGGTAACACTTTACTTCCGGCTCTAAAATGACTAATTATGCATGAAAACTTTTCTCCACCCAACTTAAAATAAAACCCAAGATCAACACAAATCATTAGGTATTCATTCGTAGCATCAAATTCTTACCTGACTCGAGGAGTTGGGTTTCCAGTGACTCGACACTCCAAATAAACTTTACTTCCTTCTTCTACTTCTTGACTCCTTAGTTTTTGTATGAATCGAGGTGCAGATGGGAAGTCCAGAGGATTCTGGGATTGCAGGTGAGAGATGTTATTGTGTGGCATTGCCTCGTCCTGGTTGGCAGGGTAGCAGTGCCTATCTTCAGGCAATTTAACCTCTGTTTCCATCTCCTGCTGCTCTTCTGTGGGGCTATGACTGGCTGAGGCACCTCTCAGGGCTGATGGTTGGTTTTTAGGAGACAAGTATCCACTATCTGGTGATGAGGACTCCCCATTTGGGCTTCTGTTTCTTGGCTTTGCAGCTTCTCTAAATATGGATGTCAGTTCCTCAATGAAATTAACTGCCTTGTCACACAGCTGGCTCTGGGGGCCAACCTCACCTTGACAAGCCTGGTTGGGTTTTTTACTTGTGTTTGGAGTTTTCCCACCATATTTTTCAGCCTTTCGGAGGCTACGTATATAACTGGGCCTGGCAAGCAAGGGTGATTGTGCTGGTTTCCTCTTTGAAACAGGTGAAGTGATACAATCAGTTTGTGCTTCTGCTAAAGGCTGGACAGGTGATGGCCTGTTTTCCTGAGGTCTTGCTGAGGAGGTTTGCTCACCCAGTTTGGTCTCCTTATGAGAAGGATTTTCGCAGAGGCCTACAGGAGAGGTGTTGAAAATTTGTGAAATCTCCTTTTCTGAGTCAAAATCTTCAGTTTCAGAGTTGGCTATAGCACTCCGGGCTAGGTCAAGGCTCTTGTTTATCTCTTCCTGGCTGAGAAAAGCAGATAGCTCAGGGAAGAAGTCAGCATCCTTGCCTTCATCCTGCATTTCTGACAGGGAATCATAGAAGGAGTCATGGGAGGAAGTCTCTGACATATTTGATCAGTATTCATACACTCTTTGACTGCTTTCAACAGGAAGACCAGAGGCACTAAAAATCAACTTTCTTCTTGCGTTCTGAAAGACAACATACACAAAACTGCTGTTAGTAGTAATGGAGTTTTTGTTGTTGTTGTTTTGTTTTTATCATAAACTCCTATTATCATAACAAATATATATGTTAACAAGTTTTTAAAATACACTTCTTTTGATCATTTTTCTCTGATGTATAACTTGGAAGAAACATCAAGGTGAAATAACTATAATTGTGTTTATCAGTTTTCAGTTTTAATTTAATAAGTGCTCTGTGAGTAAAGATCAAGGATCTCACTAACCATCCTTGGTAAATCATGAGGACATGTGTAGTCGGCACTATGGGTGAAGTGGGGAATCTCAATGTACTTCTCAAAGCCTATGTCTCTTGCTATATTCTACCTCATTAAAGTTCTAATTTCATTTAATGTTAGAGTAGCATATTGAAATTTTTATCATTTTTATTTTCAATGAAATATTTGAAACTTTATTTTTTGATACTATTCTTCAGCTATGCTCATTCATTACAAAATTAAATCAACACAATTATTCATCACTTACTGTGTTTCTGCTGCTGAGATACAGCCATGTTCTAAACTAGTGTCTGGCAAAGGTTTTTTAAGTTTTAATTGAGAATTGAGTGAAAATCTACAAGGCAGATCATCAGTTTTACATTCAACAAATCATACACTTTTTTTCATTACAATAATTACAATCCCATCCATGTACCATCCATTAACAGTATTTCTCTCTATTCATTTTAGCTCTCTTTTTTTTTTTTAACACCCAGAATATATAATAATTTACACCACCAAAGGGCATATTCTTCAAGTCTGCCTCTTGGCCGCCAGCTCTCAGTCCCTCTCTTTCCATAAGTCTAGAGTCCCCAGCTGCAACTTCTCTCCATGTCCCTATCTCTGTCTCAATCTCTGGTGTATTTGCTTCTCTGGATAAGGTCTTGCATTCCACTTGTGCTCTTCTCCTTCGATGGTCCTAGGGTCCTGTTTTTGGACTGTAAAGATTAACTACTCCCCAGTTTTGTTTTATATTAATTTTTTATTGTGAATAAAGTGATAGTTCACATGGGAGAACATCAGCTTTACATTCATCCTATTGCATTTCGCTTCACTGCAATGATTACAATCCCCTCCATGCATAATCATTCAACACCATTTGCTTATTTGCTTCCATACTCTCTGTTTGTTTGTTTGTTTTGGATGTACACGGAAACACTCAGGAATATATAACCATTCAAACAACCAAAGAGGTATACCCTGCAAGTCTGTCCCATGCTGCCTGCTCACAGCCCCTCCCCCTCCCTGAGTCCACAGTCCCCAGCAGCTCAATCTTTCCACCTCATCCTCTCTGCCTCCATCTCTGGCATCTCTGCTTATCTGGATAGGGTCCTGCACTCCACTCTTCTCCCTTGATAGTCCCAGGGTCCTCCCACTCCTGGACTGCAAGATCAACTACTCCCCTCCTTTTGTTACAAAACATCTACCTTTGCATTTGTAAATGCAGTTTTTGTCAGTCCTGATAGCAATTATTCACTATTGAACCACAAGAGTCTTATCCCCATCTCCTTTCACCAGCCCTATCCAGACAAGTTGGAAACCACTCAGTGGAGATTCTACCTTCCCCTGAACCCTCTGAAACTAAGCTCCCTTTTGATAGCTTGTAAACCAGTCACTTCTTGCCTTTGTAGTCCCCCATTTTGGGTAGCCACTGTCTAAGTTGTCCATCCTTGTCAATCCTGTGTGCTGAGTGGGAGGGAATAATCCTTGCTGTAAAGACTCGTTCCCTCTGTTGAGCTACTATATCCATAAGTATAGGTCAAGTTCAACAAATTGTAGCAGATTATTCTCTTTTTCCTATTTTTTCTTCCTCTAGTTGAGTTCTGATCATCCAACCATTGAAGCCAGGTCAACTGCGGACTTTCTGCAAGGATGAGTGTTCTCGTGCATCTCCCCTCACTTCATATCAGCTAGATGCTTCACTCTCCACTCTAGTCCTCTGTGGCTATGTCCCTGTCCCTGGGCTCAGAAGCAGCCAAGTCTTAATATACTACTGGCCAACCAGGTCTCAATCCAGGTTGACAGGAATCTATTGAATATAGTTGGACTTAGCTCACAACTTCATTGCTGTTTTCCTCCCACTTCACCTTATCCATAGACCAAAATGGTCACCAACAAGCCTGCTCGTGTATTCTTGGAAGAGGGTTTGCCCTGAGGGGACTTCACCACTCGCCTTGATGGCTCCCCAGTGAACAACTTGCTTGTTCTTGTAGTAGTCAATTGGACTGCCATTATTGTTTTTTATTTTTCCTGCTGGTCTTTTTTTCAAGAAGTATCTTCTGTTCTTCTAGCTGCTCCAGTTTGGACTACTTGTCCTTTCATGTGGAAAATTCCCACCTCATAAGATTCTGGATGGGAATCAGGATTCTACCTATGGTCTTATGTAATGCAAAGGCTCGGCAGGAAGCAAGTTCTAGCCCCATTTTAGGTATTCAAATCAGTTATAGGCTGAAGACGGACTTACTAGTTTTCTATGGTTACGTTTCTGGCTATTCCTTTCTCGCCCCCTCAAGTGTCTATTTTACAATAGGAGGCAAGGGAAACCAAGATTCAAAAGACATCCAAGCATCTTAACATTATTCCCCCTCTTGTACTCATTCAAACCATGCCTCAGTCCCTGTATCCCAGAGCCTTGTTGTTACAAGGTTGAGCATACATCACTATTTACCTCTGTCCCATTTAGCCCATGCAAACTTCCCGCAAAGTTTTTTATAAGGGGCAATGAGTAATCATTTTGGAGTTTAATCTCTATCTCAACTACTTAGCTCTGCCCTTTTCCTCATAGATAATATGGAACTGAATGAGCATGGCTGTGTGTCATTAGAAACTGATGAACACTTGAAATTGAATTGTATGCACTTTTCTATGTCAAAAATACATACTCTATATCTGCATGAGGGCATGGAGAGATAGAGTAGCTGAGGACTCTTGATTCATGGAAAGAAAAAAGGTTATGTGCTGGTGGCCAGGAGGCAGGTTTGCGGAATATGCCCTTTGGTTGTTTAAATGATTATATATTCCAGAGTGTTTTTGTGTATGTCCCCTGCACCCCTCCAAACAAAACAAAACAAAAACAGGGAATAGAAGCAAATACTGTTGAATGATGAGGCATGGAGGAGACTGTAATCATTGCAATGAAACAATGAGTGCAAAACGGATGCTCTCCCATGTAAACTATCACTCAATTCACAATAAAAAACTTTAAAAAATCTGTCAATCTAAATAATATTTATTTCCAAATAATATTTCTGTCACTTGGCATTAAAGAACACAATTAATAATAGATAAAAATGATGACAGAAGTCACAAGTGAAATTGGAATTGCAAGCAGTGAAATGAATCAACAGGCAGCAGTAAGAATAGCTAGATATTGATAGCTGATTGAGTGCTATTGTAGCAGAAGCAAGGCTACAGGTTTCTTACAGGGAACAACAGAATGAACAGTATAATTAACACAATAGAGGAGCAAGTTGTGAGGGAAAAAAATAAGCTTAATTTTGAATTGAGTCTTTGGTTCAAGGGAATTTGGGGATCTCTAATGTTGATGTCCACACGGCAGCTTGAGATACTGGACTAGACCCCAAGAGAAGAGTGGCAAGATTATGTTGTGCATAAAATTGTTTATAAGAAGCACTTTCCACCACTCATCAGTCAGTTTGTCATACTGTGATGGCCTGTGTGTTGCTGTGATTCTGGAACCTATGCCACCAGTATTTTAAATACCAGCAGGGTCACCCGTAGTGGACAGGTTACAGCTGAGTTTCCAGACTAAGACACATTAGGAAGAAGGGGAAACAGTCATTTGAACAGAACAAGGAGACACTGAGTGGTTTAAAATTAGGAAAGGTGTGCCACAGGGTTGTATTTTTTCACCATACATATTCAGTCTGTATGCTGAGAAAATAGTCTGAGAAGCTGGATTATATGAAGAAGAATGAGGCATCAGGATTGGAGGAAGACTCATTAACAACCTGCAATATGCAGATGATACAATCTAGCTTGTTGAAAGTGAGGAGGACTTAAAACATTTACTGATGAAGATCAAAGACAGTATGGGTTGCACTTCAATGTAAAGGAAACAAAAAATCCTCACCACTGGGCCAAAAAACAACATCATGATAAATGTGAAGATTGAAGTTGTCAAAGAGTTCATTTTGTTTTGGTTCAGTATCAACACTCATGGAAGCAAGAGTCAAGAAATCAAGCAACCTATTGCATTAGGCAAATCTGCTGTGCAAGACCTCTTTAATATGATTAAGAATAAAGCTGTATGTTTGAGGACTACAATGTGGTATTTTCAATAGTTTCATATGCATGTGAAAGTTGGACAGTGAATAAGGAAGACTGTAGAAGAATTGATGCACTTGAGTTATGATGTTGGAGGAGAATATTAAAAGTACCACAGACTGCCAAAAAAAAAAAAAAATTAAAAACTCTATCTGTGTTGAAGAACAGATTTGATGAATTGGATACTAAAGACCGAAGACCAGAAGAGTTGTGGGATGACACCAAGAATATCATACATGAAGAGAGCAAAAAGTCATTAAGAAGACAAGAAAGAAGGAA